AAAAAGTTGAATGAACTATTAAAATATGGGTATCAATCGAAATGTTTTTGGAATGGATATATTTCTGAACTATATGTTTTTAGGCGGATTGCCATATATTTAAAAATTCACATTCAACTTAATTCTACAGTTAATTAAAATTAATAAATGAGAGGTCATATTAAAGAAATTGGTCTTTTACAGGGTGACTTCGAATGTGATGAAATGAAAAACTGACACCATGCGAGACCTCCCTTCACTTAGAGACGGTTGCATAGATTTTGATGAAATATTACACTCGGATCGCTTTTAACTCTGACTAACATTTGGAATAGTTTTTAGATTTTTGAAACTAAATTTTTTTAAGTTTTGCGGGCCCACTACCTATTATTATTACAAATGTTTCTGAAAAAATGGTTAATGAAAAATAGCAATAAAAAAGATCGTGAAAATAAAAAACGAAAATCATTAAGCATGGCCTACAACCGCGGAGAATAACCAAATCACTTAAAACCTGTCAGTTTTCCTGTCTTTTTTTGACAATCGTTCCACAATTATTTATGCATACTTGTATACATGTATGTATGTAAATATGTTTACATACAAAAATAGAGAGTCCACTCATCAGTAGACTGGTATTGATGGTGGTTCTCCTAAATTGACTTATGTGTATTCTCACGAACCTGCACTGTTCTCTTGCTCTTTGTTCAATTATTGTATTTTGCACATTGTCAAGAAATATTTTGAGCAACAATCAATCGTGCGGCATTTTGCGGCAAGTGGAAAAAAATGAAAATGGAAACTGTTTTTTTTTTGCGGCCGCTCTTCTGCGCTGAGAAGCTTTGAGCAGAGAAGATGCATAAAATATAGCATTTACAAATCTTTTAAAAACAAAACGCCTGCAACATTTTCAATGCTTAATCATTTGTTTAATTATCGTTGGGGAAAAAATATTTATGTATTTCCAATTAGCTGCTACTAGTGAATTTCTAATGAGAAGTGTAAATATATTAATATGTGTAGAGCATTTCTCACTTATACAGCTGCTCATTTCAAATAAATTTTTAAATTCACTTATGTACATACATATGTAGGTATTCTCTTGCTGTTTTCGGGAGAGATGTGAGTGCATGTGAGTGACCGTGTTAATTGCGATTGAGAATAAAGTTGCAAACACACGTTTTTATTTATTTTTTTTTTTTTTGGCTGCGGTAATTGTTTATATTGAAGTTATTTTGAGTCGGGTTTTGTTATTTCTTGGATTTTGGTATCATATCAGAAAAATGTGTTAAAAAATTTCGTATATATTTTTTTTTTTTATCTTTTAGTGTCACTGAAACGCGCAGTATCTACATAAACTTGAAATGGTAATTTATATCTAATTGCTGTTTGACACTTAACAAATGTGTTTAGAGTTTGGTGATCAAAATTAATTCGTGTCTTGTCTTATGAGAGGGCTGTGCGGGTTGCGAACAAAGCACATAGCAAATGAGCACTTAGTGAAAAAAATACTTATATAAATGAATACCAATTTTATGTGCGATTCTTGAATAGGAATATCATTTTCATTTTAGCGAAAACCCCCCCCAAAAAAAAAACAAGTAAGAAAGTCTAAGTTCGGGTGGAGCCGAACATTAAATACCTGGCGCAAGTATTAAATATATGTTTTTTCACCTTTCCGAAAGCTACCGCTAGATGGTAAGCCGGGGTGTATCAATTTTGAGTAAATTAGCGTCCTTAAATTTCGAAATATTGAAGTTTCAAGCATTTCTGAAATTTACCGTTATATGAAAAGTGGCCGTAACTTTAGTCTGATTTCAATAATTTTCAACGTTTTGCTTTTATGTGGCAAGCACAATAAAAATACCGAGTTTGGTACAAATTGGTAGAACGGTTACCGATATACATATATGTATGTGATCATAAGTGGGCGGTGCCACGCCCATTTTCCAAAATTTTACTATAAACGCATTTCTTGGTAAAGAATTGTAGCAACCATCAATTTTGAATAAATTAGCTTTAATATTTACTGATTTATCGAAGATTTTGTATTTCTCTAAATTACCGTTATATGGGATGTGGTCGTGGTTATTGTCCGATTTTTTAAAATTTTTGGCCATTTAGTATGCTGTATCAAGGCCAACAACTGTGCCAAGTTTGGAAGAAATTGGCGCAACGGTTACCAAGATATACACATGTAACTATAAGTGGGCGCGGCTACGCCCATTTTTCAAAAATTTATAATATTCTAATTTTTCGTCTGAAAATATCAATTTTGAGTGAATTATCTTCAGTAGTTACTAAAATATCGCAGTTTTTGTATTTCTGGAAATTACCGTTATATGGGAAGTGGGCGTGGTTAAAGTCCGATTTCGCCCATTTTCAATACCAACCACCCTTGGATAAAGGGAAACCTATATACCAAATTTCGTTGAGATATCTCAATTTTTGCTTGAGTTATCGTGTACACGGACGGACGGACAGACGGACATGGCTTAATCGATTTCTCTATTCATTCTGAGCATTTATGTATACATTTGTCTATATCTATCTCGACTCGTTTTGGCTGTTACAAACAACCGTTATGTGAACAAAATTAATATAGCCTTGTGCACAAGTGCGCTCGGGTATAAAAAAATGGGGTAGCTACAGTGGTTTGAAAAATTTTATTTTCTTTAAATAAGAATAATTCTAAAACAAATTGAAGTTATGAACTTTTTTTACACCGAAGTTGAGTAAAATGAGTACATTATTAATTAAACAATTTTTTAAATTTTTTTTAGGATATTTTGGGTATGCAGTTTTGTAACTCAATAAGTTTTAGTATAATAAAGTGCAAGTTTTAAGCGATCAAGTAACTTCGTAAAGTAGATAGGAATTCTGCGAAGCGTTTTTGGTCTCGAAACGAATAAGAAGATAACACAAATTCATTCTAAAATACATGATATATTTCTTCCTTTCATGACCTCAGTCCCTCACCTGCCAACCGTTTAGCTCAGGTACGACGCTTGGTGGAGCCGTCTTAGACGAACTTAGGTCTATAGAAATCAGAAATCAGAAGAAATGCCACTTGTTCTAAGGAAAATAAGAGATACGAAATCGTAAAAAAGGCAGAGGTTATATATCATCTCTTTGAAACGACCTAATCTAACCTCACTTAACTGCTTGAAGGGTTTTGACTCATTGCCTAGGCAAAGCAAATGGATATTTAAGACCAGGTTCGAATAAATTTTGATTATAAAGAGTTTGTATTTTAGGCACTTTCGGATACTATCGCTGTAACAACAACAACAAAAACCCGACACCTCTTTACATAAATCAAACAAATACATATCATCTACTTACATAACAATTCACTTCTCATTACAGCATTCTACAAGCCCAAACGCTGAATTAGAGCACAAACCAAAGGCGGAGAATAAAAAAAAAAAAAAACAGCCAGTGTGGAAAAGAAAAAGTGAAAAAAAAACGGTAGTGTGCCCACAAATCGTAGGCGAATGAATGAATGACTGAATGTGCGCTGAATTCGCCCTACAATACATATAATACACGTCGTAAGAAGAAAGCTAAACAATAATAATAAAAAGTGACCGCAAACCAATGTTTTACATATGAGTTGCAAGTGCATACATTGTAGTTGATAGCGTTTCGTTTGGTTTTTTTTTTCACTAAAAAAAAGTTCAGTAGTTGTGCTGACAAGCAGCTCAACATGTTGTCGCTATTGTTGTTTACTTAAATATTAACAAATGTAAAACAAGAAAATAAATATTTATTATAAATATGCATATATTTATATAACCGACGGTCACAAGTGGAAATTGTATATACGTACATAAGTACATACCTACTTATGCACGTACATAAGTTTAATTAATAACGCAATTGTTCATGCAGTAATTTTTAAAATTACAAAATATTCTTACTTGAGTGTGAAAAAATATTTAAGCAAGTAGTGAACTGAATTCAGTTTTATTCGTATCTTCTGCGACTTCGATTTGTTTGGCCGAAAAAGTGGATGCAAATGAATATTTGACAGCGAATCGCTTTTATGTAAGTAGTAAATATTTTATTTAAAAATTTTATTCACTTTTGTAATTTGGTGAAAATAAGCAAGATACCACAATAGTATGTTTCAGTTAACTAATTAACATAATTAAATTTGACTTCTATAGCAGTAAGCAACGTTGTTCAAAAACACTTTAGAGGAAAAAGCTTTCTTTTATTGTAACACCCGTATTGTAATGCTTTATTTGATTTCCTATTTAATAGAATTGAAACTTTTAAACTGGTGGCAACCCCCTTCAAAATATTTTATTAATAAAGTATATTCTCTGTCCAGACGCACGTATTAAATATTTAACAAAACTTGTTTATTAAATTGATTTTGAATTAATAACCAGGTGACAACGCCCTTCAAAAATATTTTATAAACAAGGATTACCTGAACATCTCTTTTAAAAAGCATTTCAGAAAAATGCAAAGCTTTTTCAACCTCTCTCGTTAGACAGTCATATTTAAATATTGAACTCTACTTGTCTATTAAATTGATTTTGAATATATAGATAGGTGGCAACCTTGTCAAAAAAAAATTTAGAAATAAAGCTTTCTTAAGCCTCTTTATTTTAATTTCCATATTGAAATATTTAATTTAACTTATTACATAATTACATAAATTGATTGTGAATTACTGAATATGTGGCAACTCTCCTCAAAAATATTTTCAAAATAAAGCGCTCCTAAACACCTTTCGTTTGATACTCATATTCAAATTAATTTAATTTATTTAATTTAATTTAATTCATTTGTAATTTTGAAACACGTGGCAACCCTCTGGCAAATTAGTTAAGTTATGAAACTTACTTCAGTCCCTATCGTTTGATATCAATACAGAATATTTCATTTAACTTGTTAAATAAATTTCTATTGAATTACTAAAAAGGTGGCAACTCTCTTAAACAAGTAAAACTTACTTAAGCCTCTTTCGTTTGACACCCATATTAAAATATTTAGTTTAACTTTTCAATTAAAATAATTTTGAATTACTGAAAACTTGTACTTACTGAACTTGTTAATTTAATTGATTTTGAAATGCTAAAGAGATGGCAACCCTCCTGAAAAAAATTTAAACAAATCGTTTGAACAATTTTCGTTTGAAACTCACATCGTTGTAATATTTTCGCTTAATTTAATAATTATATGATTTTAATTTTTGAAAAAGGTGGCAACACGTTTCAAAATATACTCTATATTTTGATCCAGGTGTGGCAAATTTCCGTCGAGTGAGCGTATAAACATTTATATTGATAGCTAAGCAGTCGCTGAGGCTCTATTTTCACATACATATATACACATATGTATGTATCTATGCACTACTTACTCGGGCTAGCCATGATAACAATCGTCTAATCAGGACGCAAACAAGGGAGGGCGTTCTCACTAGAGAGGACATACCAATTTCTTTACAGGAAATCGAAGGTCCAAAGATTTGCCTATGTACCGCCAGGTAGACAGGATGTCCAGGGCTAAAAAGATTAGGCGTAGATCGCACGATAGAAACCTTACCGATTTCTCGTAATCAATGGTTCAAAGGCAAAACAGCGGACGTTCTTTTGATCTGTGAGAGTTTTTTTTTACTGGCCGGGAAGCATAACCTACTCTAAGCTTCGAGATGCGAAATGTACACCAGACTCAGCTTTAAATTCACCGTGCGAGATTATTAACTAAGCCAAGAGCTAGACTATTATCTTAAGAGAAAAATAAATGACAGCCAACCTTATCTGATTTCCTCTTAAATACAATTACCAACTAAAAAGGGTTACAATTCTTTGCAATTCCTTGCAAAGATTGCTTATTTTAAATCCAAAAGTGGCTTCGTAAAATTTGACGACTATGTGTTTTGGACAGTGGAAAAATGATTGGGTTTCTAGGAATAGGTAGTTGTAAGAAGCTTGCTTTGAACGAAAGTAAACGGTCTTAAATCCAGACACTCTTTCAAAAGGTTTGGCTAAAAACACCTTCACTAACAGTTTCAAGACTAAACTTATACTGAAGTTGAATGGCTTCTTAGTGGATGATTCAAATATATCGTATATCTAGGTGAGTATCATCCCGCACTTAAGCTTAACCCCCATTCTCATCTTACTCAAATTCAACCACACAACTTTGTTTCGTTCGTTCTTATGGTAATATTTCTAACAAAATGCACAGGACTCCAACTAACAATGCCGAAATTACGAAAAATTTGGGTCATTCAAAAAAATGCTAATGGCCTTAATGACTGATTTTTTAAGGTTATTTTTTTTAGATGCCGGAATTTGTCAAAAATTTTTGCCATTTAATGCTTAGTGGTAATCCAGCATAAGATTTTCTTTTGCAGTTTCGCTCGATATTTTTCTAATGTTCAAAAATATTTATGCGACCATATGTTTGGCAGCTGTTACGATTCTCTGGATCGGCAGAGTTTTTAAAGCAATTTGTGAACGTAAGTGGCCTTTAACCATATGCGTAAATATGTGTGTACCTACAAACATATGTATTTATGTATGTAGTATCATAAAATAATTTATCTGCAAGCGAATTCCTAGCGAATCATACACTTTTGGGTCTTTTATGGCAGCCATACAAAACATTTCTTCTGCAATCGATGTCATTTGTGAGCTGGAGCGAATCGAAAATACCTCCAAGGATCGTGATTTTATAGTCATATTCTTTTGGGTTTTTTAAGAAAACAAATCGATAAAAATTACGATAACAAAATCGATTAAAATATCGATACCCAAATCGATAACAAACTCGATAAAAATATCGATAAGAAAATCGATAAGTCGCGAGAATACCGAAATTCCCGAAATAGTTCCCAGGCTGAGTCTCTGTGACTCTATATCATTTTCTTTATAATTAGCTATATTCTAATCCTTCTATCTTTATCTTCATCTCTTTATTCATGCTCATCTTGTTCTTAATATTTATCTTTATCATCTTTATGTTTATCATTTTCTACATTACATATTCCCCTTCACCTTTGCCCTTATACTAGTAAAATTTTTAAATTTACCTTGGTCTTCATTTTTGCCTTTAACTTTACGCATCTTTGTTTTTGTTTTTATTTATACTTTTGACTTTATCCTTTTCTTTATCAATAACATAAAATAACTTATTTACGGACTTAGCAAATTTTCCATTCATTGAATATAAACGAGAAAACATAAAATAAGGACCTTTACCCTTTTCGAAACGATGCATTTCTAATTTATCTAGTCTGCTGTATCAAAATATGATTTTTCATAAAAAGTGAAGTTAGCAACTTTTCATTCTAAGCTAGCGATACTCGAGTTTTACAATCAGTTTATCGTAAATTTTAAATAATTTTATTTCATGGAATGTTTAAATGCTTTCACATATTGAATTTTTACTCACATTCATAAAAGTTATGACTCAATGTGAATTGCGGATTACTTAAAAAATATCCCGCAATCCCGGAATCGCAATTTTCCTCACATTTTGGCATCCCTAGTACACATGTTTATGATTAAGTACAAGTGTTACTTTTCTCGCTTGAGCGTGAAATTGATTTTCTAAGCCTTGCGTTCGCTCTTTCAGCATTTTTACTGATAAAGTGAACTCAATGGAATGGAACTAGTACAGTCACAAATCTACATACATACATACGTTATTATTTAAGTTGCCCATAAGCACTTTGACTAAGCATTTTATACGCATACATACATATCTGTGGACATTTGACAAAACTACTTAAGTCTCTCTTTCACGAACAAACTAAATAGCATATGTCGCCAAAACTCTTTTTAAAGGCAGCGCAATAAACTTTATTTAAATGAAAGTATTTGGTTGTTGAAAACAGAAACATTTAAAAGTTTGTGAACAGCGATAAAATAATTTAATATTTATTTCGAATTATAACATTTCACTCTTTGGCGGTAAAATATGTTTTGTCGACATTATGCTATGTCGACATGCTATTTGTGGTTTGTCCGTAAAAGACAGACTTAATGTTGTTTTGTCAAATGTCCACAGATATGTATGTATAAGCTAAGATATTCTTGATATTATATTTAAATATTGTATATACTAAGTGATATCTGTAATAGCTGTAAAAAGCAATCTTTGAACAAAAATTTATGAGAATAACGCAGAAAAATAACGAGAAAACGCAAAGAATTTGCTTCAAACGGCATAATACATATGTATGTATATAAGCTTTAGTATATATTTTGTTGCCCTTAGGGCACGTTTTCTTTTGTTTTATTTATTTACTAATCGCGAATAGAATAGATTGAAGGGTTTATTTCGCATAAGACCACGTGTGCGCTGCTGTTAAGCGTCACTATATATTGTATGTGGATTTCCTAAGGTAAAAGATATGTGTACATACATGCATACATATATACATAATCGAAAATTTACATACATATTTGAAAATACCTCCAAAAATCGAGTTTTTTTCATAAATAAAGTTAAAAATATTTTTTTCTTAATCACCTCAGATGATAGCCGAGTTTAAGCTTAAAAAGTCTGTTTAAAAATGTTTAAAACTTTTATCAGCGAAATCAAAGTAATACGAGTTTTTTGGAGATATTTTAAAATCGGTCTAGCTCACGTAAATCTTCATATTTTTCCGCAATATTTTTGCGGAAGTCTTAAAATATGATAAATTTTATAATTCCGTTGGCAAAACCGCCACTTACACATACATACATACGAATTAGTGAGTATGTGTATAAATACATAAAATTTCTTGCATGCATACAATAGCGAACTCCAATCAAGAATAAATTTATTTAATTCTTCACTCTAATGAGGATATAGAAAAAAAGTCAAAGGTTATTTGCGTACACCTGCTGTCAATCAAAGCCGGAAATGTAATATATGCTTTTGTACATTTGTATTATATGTACATATTTACTTACACATAAATGTAAGGCGATAAGCGGTAAATGAGAATAGAATAAACACGATTTACTTTGGAAAAAAGAAAACATAAAACTAACTACTACTAAGCCTTACGCATTTGTATCGAAGCACTGATAGCG